CAATTTTTAGATGTATTACATCACAAGCTCTTTAACGATTGAAGAGATAGAATTTTGGCAAAGGATCAAATTTTGAATTTCTGGGTGACACTGCACAAAATTCCCAGTTAAAAATAACAAAGTGATGCAAGACTGGCGGAATGAACATAGACAAACTTACATTTTTGTGTGTTCCTTCTAGTATAGGTATCACAGTGCCAATTTTATGCTGTACTAGTGTTGTGCCAACCATTCGATAGCACTTCCTCTCCGCATCCAACATTTTCAATACTTCTACTACTCGCCTGCAAAACATTCCAAATGCTGAAGCTAAATTCCTCTCCAGTTTGAGATAGAGGCACTTGGAAGTAACACTAATGTATACGGCCAACCACCGGTAAAGCTATCACTAGCTTCTTCGAGCAACACCACTTCCTTCGCAAATTCGACGTTTGACGTTGAATTCAACGAATTCGACATTGGATTCGACGTTTTCGCATGGATAAAACGAAATTATGCATGCTGCTCATCAGACGAAAAATCACTAATTGTATCGAAAATTCACTAATCCAAGTATCTTCCGTTCCGATTTTCTCTTCCTGGCACAAATACCGTTCCTCGTCTGCCTTATGGGCTACTGCGTTCCCCATCCATATGTCAAATGCCTTCAACTATGTGGCACCACAGATAGCCCTTCCGGTCTGACCCTTTGGGAGTGTCGATGATGCCCTCAAATTTACGCACTCGGAAGCCCTTGTTCATGCATCTCCGACTGAACTGTATACATTTTGGCCAAGCAAAAACAACTGTCAACTTCTTCCAAGTCAACACCATCCAGTTGCAAGTTGGCTCCAGAAATACTGGCGCATTGCATCACCTTCGTTTTCGGCTGCTAAATTTCATAAGGCATAGTTTCTCACTCCATGCGTTAAGCCTCTACAACAACTCAACCATTTGGCCAAGGTTCGCCAAAAAAAGAACTTTGTTAATTGCGAAACGCAGTTTTTATAGTTGCTTTGCTTTTCAAGCCATGTATTCGATCCAGTTTGCAAAACACTATCTCAGTGCGGGCCGTGAAAAGTGCCAGACAGAAGGGAATTCTCATACATCACTCCTCCCTTGTCTTCTCCTTCAGTCGGAATATTAAGGTCTGAGAAGAAAATTTCATATTTGTCAAATAACTTGTACTTATGTCCATAAAAATTTAACACAAATTGCACCAAGGCACCCTGCTTTTCCCTTCACACCATCGGAAACGGACTGGATTTTTCACTAGCGGATCTTTCAATCAACTTTCAGCTTAAAACAGCGTTTTCTTCCACTACACCAGTCGCCAAAGTGACTCTGAGGTAGCATATTCATCACAAATAAATTGGCTTAAATAATGATTTGAATATAAAAGTAAGCGATGATGATATTTAGGTCACGTAACTGCGAACTGAACCATAGTATCACCACAATTTTAGAACTTCAGCCAAGCGAATAGATATCGTGGAAGAGGCGCCCCACTTTATAAGAGACAATCTGCACTTCTTATAAGCCTCAATAGATAACTTACGCATGTTCTCGTCTGTCTTCTTCCACTCGCGATAGCTCCACCACAATATTTCTTTGTTGCTCACGCAGCTTTTGCAAGCCTTCAATTATAGCAGTTTTGTCTTGTCTTTCACTATCCTTTTGTTTGTTCGAATCTGTAGATTGTTTAAGTTTGCCACCTTCTGACGTTCCGGCCATTGCAAATAATCGTAAAAACCTTGAAAATTTCGAAACTGAAAATAAA